TTTTCCAAGCAAGTACCACCATTTTTATATATATATATATATATATATATATATATATATATTTTGTATAATAAAACAAATAAGAACACTATATGAACTGTGCTTAATGTAAAATATAAAGGCAGTTCAAAGAACAAGATAATTCTATATTTGAAATACAGAATTGGGTATCTTGATCTTTGTACCACCTAAAGATTGTGTATAACTGGGAAGTCCTGGGTATGACAATAAACTACATCTTGCAGCAAGGATCAGGAGATTGGAGGTTTTGAGGAGCATGGAACCACCTCTTAATTGTTGTTCTCAGATCCACCCTGATCTAGGGTGGTAGTACCTTTTAGCATCCCAGCAATAGTAAACTCCCAAACAAAAACAAAATACTACGAAAGTATAAAAATACATTTTTATAGTAAAATATGAGCAATACATTTTTATATAAAAAAATAATTACCAACAATACCTATTTATAGTAGAATGACCAACAATACATTTTATATCTATATCTGTAGTTGAAGTCATAAAATTGTGTTCAAAATACTTAGATTTCAGCATTAAATAACTCATAAAGATGTTGATGTGCTGCTAAACAAAATCAACCAACCGGCAAACTGGGAGGCTATATGAAACTAAGTCACAGAAAAGCAGTAATATTCGAGCATCATTTTTTTTCTTGTGGCCTGAAGATTGTGTTCAAGGAAAAAAAAGTCTATCACCTATTGGTGTTTACCTCTATATCCAACTTTATATTTACATATTCTCTTTCCCTAATATCAAGCACTTTAACTCATTTTTGAACTATTTGGGTGATATGTAACTGATTTAAAATTTCTGTTTTTCAGGAAATTTACTTTGGATAATTGCTTATTTCACCCTAATGGCTTGTATTGGTGTAAAAGATGATGGGAATAAGAGGAAAAGAACAACTTTGGAGTTATCACAAAAAGTGGAAATTTTAAACAGACACTGGTGAAAGTTCATTGTAACTAATGGTTGAGTTCAACATAGGAAAGTCAACATTGTATGATATAAAATGTATTCTTCAGTTTTCACACTGTCACAATGAACAAGGAAATAAAAAACATGATTGTGATGAAACCTGGACTGAAATTGAAAAAGCTATTGAAAAGGTTGTCAGATTTATGGAAAGAAAGCCAGCATTCAGCTATGACGATTGCAATAACACACGTGTCTTTTGTCTAAAAAATTTCAAGAACAAAAGCAAAACGAAATGCAGAAAAGATTGAGTGACATTAGAAGAGAAAGAATCATCATGCAACAGTGATTAAAAAATTCTCGTTACATTATTTGTTTTGCATACGTGGCATACTTAATTTAATGAATTTTCATTAACATTAGATAATTTATTTCCTTTTGCTTAAAATCAATTCCGTTATATTTCACTCACCATTAGCTTATTTTGTTTACTATAAAACATTGAAAATAAAAGTTCAACCTGATTTCAGTTCTTTTATTTTAAACTAAATATAACCCCACATATCTGGACTTTGTAACCAATTATTCATATCCAGAAGGCCTTCTTAGTCTGGTTGTCAGGGATTCTAGTGTATTTATTTTCTTCTACCAGCATGAATATTCGAGAAAAATATGTGCTATCTGGCAGGATTCGAACCTGTGTTCTCCTAGGGGAAGCTATCATGAGATCTGACCTCTTGGCTACAGAGTATGTCAATGACCAAGCAAAGCTGAATACTGCCTTCAAATCCTGCTGAAGAACACATCTTTTTTTGTAATAAGATTTCTCAAATATTCAGGCCAGTAGACAAAAATAAAATATACTGTTCAATAAATAAACGAACTGTCTACTCGAATATGGGTATCCACTAAAAATAACATATATATATATATATACACACACACACACAATAAATCAATAAAAAAAACTTTAAGAGTACATCAAGGAGTTGAATCAGTTCTCTCAGAATTATAGTTTGTGAAGCTAGTTTCAGGAAAAAAACAAACAAACAGTGACTTGATGTAAGAGTTTAGAAACATCACACCATATTAAGAAACACTGCTGGATCAAGTCTGTTGAAAAACAAGTAAATGGTTGGTTCTAATTTGGAAATTATCATGCACCAGTCCGTCCTTTTGATTATTGACTGCTTAGGGAATATATTTTGGTAAAAGGGAATTAAAGTAATCCAATAATTAATACGTCACAAATCAGACAAATAAGTTTCAAATGATAATTTTTATTGTACTAGGCAAGATCAAACCTTTACCTTAAATATAATTTATCAAGAGAAGAAAATATTTTTTTAAAAATCAATATCACCTCAAGCAAGGCAGTAAAGTTACTAAGACACAAAAGGGTTACAGGGTGTGGAAGAATTAGGAAAAGAAACATTATTAATGAGTGGGAAGAGAAAAGAGTACTCAAGAGGACAGTAGATAGTGATTGACATTGTATTTAAACTTTTGCAAATTAAAGTTGGCTGGAAAGCAAGGAACCAGAAGTGAGTTCCACAAGTGAGAAGTGCAAGGAAAAACATCTAATCAGCTCAACTGTAAATTTGAACTTGGCTTGCTGATTCAGTTTCACAAGATGTTAAATCTAGATCATACCCATGCTTTATTTCTTTTTATACAAGTTAGTGAGTAATCATCACCCCTCTAAAAAGACCTTGTGCCAGACTAGTCGTATAAACATTTAATATCTGTTTTATAAGAAAAAAAAAACTGTTTCAGAGAAATGGCATGATGCTTTACAGGTTTGATCTTAGCTTGATGCTCCACTATAAATGATTTGTGCCAGGTCATTTACTCCACACACTCCTGAAGTGGCTGGCCATTAATACTCAAAGACTCGGCACAAAAGAGCTATTTTCATCAGGTTATTACCAACACAGAAGGGATAAACTTCCCAACCAGGGTCCCATAGGCACACAAAGCTAAATTAAGTGAATTTGGTATTTTGAATAATAGGATTTTTTTTGAGAGAAAGAGAGAGAAAGAAAAAGGGAGAAAAGGGGCAGACAAACCAGATTTAGCATGTATCCCAGCTGTTTGTATTTATTAAATTAAAAAAAAAAAAAAAAATCATTGTTAAAATGCAAGGCAAAAATATATCCCACATCAGTTAATGTCCTTCAGTGTCCAAAATCAAGTTTTCTTCCCTTCCCTGGATAGGATCAAGAACACACCATGATGACCTTAAAATTGATCGACTGCAGTTGGCATTTACTGGGTAGGTCTAGGATAATACTGCTATGAAAAAGTATGAAAGGGGCAAAGGACAAAATTATTAAACTTATTACATTTTGTAGAAAATATTAATCATGAAAACGGTTTCCTATGGACCACATTTGGCCATTCTCATGTTTGAGACCCCTGCTCAAATGGGTAAGTGCACTACTAACCCCCAACTTTATACTCTGATATGAAAAGACTTAAGATGTATACCTGTATAATTCCAAATATTTTTTTTATTCACTCACTCACTTCCCTGTAAATTCAATGCATATATATTTGTATGAAGATCCAGAAGAAAACTGACATCATGCCAAATGACTAGGAAAATCTTGCTCTATCGTTCATCCAGGAAAGCAGTGCACAATAGTTAGAGAGAGATTTTGAACAGAATTGTGTTGTGTATGATAAATCCAAGAGAGATATTCATAAGAGTCTTAGGTTAATTTCCCTGAAAATGTTGCTACAAAATTTGGTGTAATGTGTAATGAATATGGTTGCGTCTAAGTAGAGCAAGCCTAAAAAATCAAAGATGTCACAGAGTGAAGTCATTCATTACACATTATGCAGCAATTACTGAAAAAAAAAAAAAAAACAATAACAAAAAAAAACAACAAAAAACCCCCAAAACAATGTTATTTAAGTATGTCTTAAAGATTCATTTCTAACAAATCTAAATGACATTAGAAATATTTCAACAATAGTTGCTTATTATTTTCCCCAGAATTTATTTAAAGTCAAAATAAAATACTGTCCAAATCAAAACCAGAATTAAATAAGATTTAAATTTAAAAAAAGTATAACCTTTTCCGGAAGAAAAGAAATTGTAAGTTGGTTTCTAAACTTAGATGTATTGTATAGTTAGATTGCTAGGGCAATGGTTAGCACATTTGTTCCACTGGCCTTGAACTAGAAACTTAATATTCAAGTGTGTCAAAGGTAGATTTATTTAATAAACTGAGTCTGGAACAAGGCTACACCAAATACCAAATTCATTATCCATGTGTACTTTATGGTATATACAAAATAAAATCTTTTGTCGTCTCAAATTTCTTTATTCTATGTAACTTAAATGAAGGAAAATAATGATGATAATGAACATCCTTTTTTTTTTTTTTTGTATAACACAACAAAAATGGTCACGCTGTACCAAAACACTAATTGCTTGCTAGACGAGGACAACAAAGGTAGCCTTCAATTATTTCAAGAATTTCAGCTCTAAGGAAATAATCCCATACTCTTCAGAAAGAGGAAAAAATGTGTCAAGTAAAAGACATGTAAAAACACCCCCCACCAAAAAAAACAAAAACAAAAAACAATAAAGATGGCAATATTTGATGAAAAGATGTCAGTGTAAACCAGGAAGTTAAACAATTGGATTTAAAAAATGAAAAATGCTTTCCAAACGGTTTGGTCAGATTTTATTTAAAAAAAAAAAAAAAAAAAAAAAAAAAATGTTTCAATCTAATAGTTATTTTACTAGTGTTAATTCATTTTTTTTTCTTTATTTGAGTATATTACTGAATTTTAATGAAAATATTTTTAAAAATTAGAATTATTCTTGTTCTTGTACATCAATTGTCTAAAGCGTGAGATCAACTCAAAGTCAAATGTCATTGTTTATTTGACAAAAAATTATTTGATCTATAGTCATTAAAAATTTAAAAGTGAACTAAGTCTTCTATAGGAATGGCAACATTGTCCCCCAAAATGAGGGACATGATAAAATGTACAAAAGATGGAATATTGAACAAGAAAGTCGATATAGTAAATAAATAAATAACACTTACAATACGTCTTCCATGTGGGCAGTTGTTCGTTGCCACTACTGCTGCTGCCACCACCACCACCACTGCCATCTGGAATAATAATTTGATATATCGAATTACTTTCAACAGAATTCTGTAGCAGGTAATACTTTGGCATGGTGATCTATCATGTCATATGTTGAAAAAAAAAAAGTGGCAAAAATAAACGTCACTGCTTTAGTTAAAGCAGTTAAAAAATTAACTCCTAAATCAGACTAAAAATCCACGAAACAACGCAGACACAAAGCTAAAAAAAAATAAATAAAAGAAAGAGAGAGGAAGGTTTGACTTTTGATAACAACAAACAAAATGAGAACACAGGAAGTTGGACTGACTGAAAAACTTTTGCTACAAAGAAGTATTTTGATCGTCGACAACATGCAGGGAAGAGAGGGGATAAAAAAAGATCACGGATCATGGCTGAAGAAAGAGAAGGGGAGATGGGGGGGTAGTGTTTTTTCATATCTTTGTTAAACATCATTAGGACATAGCAACATGAAGGACACGCACACACAGTTATTAGAATTGTTGTTGCCCCTGGAGTTCAATGGGGCCCACTGTACAGGTCAACCAAAGTGGTGACATAGTATTAAAAAATTACGAAAAGTTGCATTTTAACAAGTAGGTAGGTCAATGTTTGAATATAAATTTCCTCTTTATTACATTTTGATTACCCCATTCATGTACCAATCCTTTCTGCTTTTATATTTACTACAAACAATTAAAATACAGATAGCATATTTAACCAAGTCTGGAAACTTGTTAAAAAAAAAAAAAAATGAATAAAATACAATTAAAGAAAAGAAAAACATTATCCAATATAACATTTGAAAAATCCCTTCAAACTACATTGAATCAATAGCTGCATCTACTGCAAGGAAAGTTGGTTCATTGTGTTATGCCAGAATAGTTTTCTCATCAGGGACTATCTTGCACAAATCTACCACTTGTCCAGGCATTGAATACTGTTGCCATATCTGTTCTGGTGCCCCTGCTGTTCATCTTGAGGTATATTAGATTCCAAGTCATTATTTGAATTTGTATTAAGTTTTTTTGAGACAGTCAACTCATATTCATCAGTCACCTAGACTTTTGGGACCTTACTCTCCTAAAAATAAAAACGAAAAAGAAAATTAACACCCACATCAATACAGATCATTTGTCATTCTAGTCAGTTATGTAAATAAAATCCATAATACTAAACTTTTGCAATATTCCTTTTTTAAATATGATTGTTTCAATGGAGATGAAAGAAAAAAAAATTTTTTAAGAAAATCAGAATTTTTAGACTTGTTGAATTTGAGTGGTTTCCCTCAGAAATCGTTACACTTTCAAAATGGTCAGTGAATAAAAAGAAAGATTTCTTTTAAAGTTCTCTCTAGACAGGGAAACATGTTATTTTCCCTCTCACTATTTTTGAGGTTTTTAAGGAGTTCAAAGAAATATTTTAAGATCTTGAGGAATACCGTTAATCTTGGATCTTGTCTTACATGAATGATTATTTTAGGCTTGCCATAATTTACAAACCTCAAACTGGGACAGTTTTCAGTTTTTTTCAATTTCTGTTATAGGTTTAACTTTCTTGCATAATAGAGTTTTGATGAGCGAAAACAGATCAGGACTGACACCAAATGAATGCTAGTAGCTTATATCACTAGCAAACACCAACACAGAGCCTTAAAGTGGGACATTTATTTTTTAATAGTATTATTCACCCAATACAAGAACCAAGAACCACTCAAGGTAGAGGGATACTGAAGGAGATTATTTTATGGATGTAAGAGTAGGATTGATTTTTTTTTTTTTTTTTTACAGCTTATCAACCCTCTATGGGTTATTTAAAACATTTTGGATTGTAAGAATAAATTTTTTTTTGAGTGAATATTGCATGAACAATTTTTGAGAAGAATGATTTTTTACAGAGATATGTTCAGCATTTTTAACCCATACCGAGCCACTATCCCTCACTCCACTAACACATCCCATAAGCGAAGGAAGTAAGATGTGCATCTTATGAGGATATGTAGGATAGATGACAGTTACACTTAGAATTGAAGAGGTTTAAATTGTAGTGATTGGTGAAGCATCCATTTGGGAGTCTGTTCCACAAAGTAACAATTCTGGAGGAAGAAGCTAAGTGAAACTTCCTCTTTACCAATGGAATCTAATAAGAATGAAGATAATTCGACCCATGGAAGTTCCTAAATGTAAATGTCTGACCTGGTGGAACTAAGGAATGTAGCTCATCTGAACATTTGCCATGGAAACAGCAAAAGAATAGTAAAAGACTAGCAATGTTTAGTGTTGTAACCTAGGGAAGGTTACTGAATAGTTGAAGGTTGGTAATGAATGATAATACTTAAGACAAGAACAGCACATATAAGATTCGCCAGCAGTGCATAAAAGTAGTAGTCAACTGCTAGAAGTGAGTCAATTGAATTCCACAATGAATCTCCAACTGCAGACCAATATACAGTATTTACTACTGTATTTATGTGAATGGTGACATAGCCATTATTGCTCATAGGTATGCTACAACATTTAGACTGTGGAAAAGGGATTGTAGGGTGGAAAATAATTCATCACCCACAAGGCTGCATAAACACTTTTGAACTCTGTCAAGTGTAAGTCTAATTTTAGATTTAGAACTTGAAACAAACATACATCATTAAAAAGAATCACAAACCTAGACCTCCTATCATCTGTACAGAACTTGCAGGTTTAGCTCAATTAAGAGAAACTGAGTTGTTGACAATATTTGAGGTATTTGGGTATAAAAAAAGAGAGGATATATTGGCCAGTTTCGTAATATGATCTTCTGCATAGGTTCAGTCTGGGTTATTGTCATTAATTCAAAATAACACTTGTCTAGATTAGGTTTAGGTTTTTTCTGTTTAGGCTGATTTAATAGCAAAGGAAAAATGTATTTCATGATTAAACATTTCTGGAAACTTTTGCAAAACAATTTTACAACTTATAAAGTGAAGCTCAATAGATAAAAGCAAACAGTCTTTAAGACTTTCTAACAGCAATAACATACAATAATTGCTATATATATATATATATCTCATACTTATTATAAAACCCAGGTTGTGTGTGTCTGTACGTTTATATATTGGATTGGATTTCCTACATTTTTCAGCCGATTTCAACAAAACTTCACAGGACTACATAAAATTACCTTGCAGTGGTTCTGACAGTGCCAAAAATTGGAAAAACACAATTGTTTTTGCATGAAATCAATTTGAAAACACGATTAAGAGGCATCGCTGAATGAAAGGGGGGACAACTCATATCGAGTTATACTTATTATAAAACCCAGGTTGTTTGCGCGCGTATGTGTCTGTGTTCATTTATATATGGGATCGGATTTCCTACATTTTTCAACCGATTTCAACAAAACTTCACTTTTTTGAGTTTGGGTTTGACCAAAAATTAAGAGATGCATGTCCATCAATCTTAAACAATAATCTTTGTCAATTTTATTTTTCAGTCTTTATGATGGTCGATACTTGATCTATCTCTTACTGTTACATCCCCAGGCAATGCTGGGCTCTACTGCTAGTATTATATATATATATATTGTCATTCATTTGTAAAGATGTTTACCTCCACACCATATTAATTCCGTTGTATATAAATTTGAGTGTAGTTGTGGATATGACTATATAGGTAGAACATCTCAATGTTTGGATTTCAAAATTAAACAACATTTACCCTCCAGAATTTTGAATCCGGCCACTAGTGGTAGTCAACTGGTGAATGCATCCGGGTCTTCCATAGCACAGCATGCTATACACAGTAGGGAATGTGTGTATGGTTTGAGTGTCAACCATTTTACCATTCTGTCTAGGTCGCACTCAATATTACATTTCATCCTTTTAGTCCTCTAAGATATACCCTGAAAATAAACTTGATAAGATCTGGGTCGAAACCGGTTGTTTTAGTTTTTAGTTAAAATGCCATCAAAAACTTACTTATTCTTTGCTGTTATAAAATTCTGTACCATTAAAAATCTGTTCAAATATATATATAAATATAAAATCAAATTGGCAGCTGGTGTCAAAAACGACCTTCAGTCTATTAACTGGGGAACAGGATGGCTTGTTAATTTTAACACCTCCAAAACTAAACTGCTCCCTATTAATCATCTGAGAGACCCTTTTCTGCCTTTCACCAGCATGGCTGATGCTAACCTTCAGGAGAAGGACTTGTTGTTACTTCTCAGACTAATATTTTCAGCTGACGTGAAGTGGAAAGACTATATTGAATCCACTGCTAGGTCAGCTGCTAAGAAAGTTGGTTCACTGTATCACCGAGATAATTTTTCTCTCCACAATCACTTTGACCTTCCACAGTTTCAAGTCATCTTCACGTCTTGCTGACCCTAATCCTCTTTAATTCCCAGTGAAACTAGTTAAAAATAAAAAGTGGCTTTTAAATCAATAAAAAATATGTAATCAGGCACAAGGCCATGGGTGTCTATTGGAAGTGGTCTTTAGAAATATTTTGCCATTGTTTAATTAGAAGACATTGTTCTTAAAATTTTCAATACCAAACATTTGATAATTTGACTGTAAAAAATTTTCTAGTACCAATTTTTTTATTATATTTTGTAGCCAGAAAAAATTGGTAGTGTTTCTTAACCCTTTAGGATTCACCATGCTCAAATCCACTCCATAAATATCAGCTCTCAAAGTCTCACTGTTTGCGCGACTTCCTGTGTTATTGTCGATGATATTATCATTTAGCAGAGTATACATGGGGCAGGTTATGGCAGGTTGGACACCGAGAGCCAATATTTATAGGGCAGGTTATGGCAGGTTGGACACCGAGAGCCAATATTTATAGGGCAGGTTATGGCAGGTTGGACACCGAGAGCCAATATTTATAGGGCAGGTTATGGCAGGTTGGACACCGAGAGCCAATATTTATAGGGCAGGTTATGGCAGGTTGGACACCGAGAGCCAATATTTATAGGGCAGGTTATGGCAGGTTGAATGCTAAATAGTTATAGCATCATACACAAGATAATTTTAAAGATTTCTGTTGGTTTAAATGTTTACAAAACAAAAGTTAAGAACTTGACTCATTTCAATTCTTGGATAGAAAAGGGAG